GGTGAGAAGTACCGAGGTTTGTTTGACTCGAAACTTTTGTATTGCACCAATATACCTTTTTCTCCTCCCTCTTCCTCTTTTTACTTCCTGTCTCTTGGGCCAGACCAAATGGTGCAAGTAATGGAAGTGGCAGGAGAAGGCAAGGTCACCCAGAGCTGGAGCACTTTTGAGTCCACACAATCCCACTGCTCCAAATACCCCCACGAAGCCACCTCTCCCATCCCATCTTCTGTCCTTCTCTGTGCCCACACTCCGAGCCCCACATACAGATGCTGGTATGTGATTCACAGCACCAAGATGGGTCCCTGGGAAGGAAAGAGGGCTCATAAAACCTTACAACAGTTTTATAATGTATTCTTAGCTTTTACAGGCATACTGGGTAGCTAAGGCTGGCAAACAGCAAAGTGTCTGGGATGGATGGGTGGGCCCAGGACCCAGAATTGGTGAGAACAGCTGAGATGTTTTTGGGAAGACAGTACCATCTTCCAGCTGTGTGAATGGGAAGGGCAATATAAGAAGCAAACATTTCTTTAGATCTCTATAGTTTAAACAGCACTTTCACATTTAATGCCCACCAGGTAAAGTAGGTTTTATTTCAAACTGACAGATGAGGAGCCCTGCACAGAGGGGTTGTGTAGACCAAAGGGGTGGCAAAGCCAGGGCTTGGACTCCAGCTTTCCTTCTGAATTCAGATCTGATGCTCTGTTGCCAGGGTTGCCTGGCATGGTAACAAATCTCAATGATCTCTACAACTGCTGCCCAGAGAGACAGGTCCTGGCAGAGTCACCCTTCATGAGGTCTCAGTCCAGGCTCCATCACCAGGATATCCCCGAGTAAATTCCTGCTACCAACACCCAAAGGCTGGGCTTTTCTCAGCCATATCTGTGCCCCTGGAACCCTAGCACAACTCTTTCACGTCCTTTCATACTTTTGTCTCTCTTCTACTCAGCAAGCCTCTCCCCTCCTCACTTGTCAGCTCCAGGGCATAGCTCATGTCAGCACCAAACGAGGGGACTCAGAGCAATGGCAATCCTCACAGGCATAATCACCTACACTCCCTTACTCATTTGTGTCATTCTTAAATTTCTAATGAAAAATAAGCAAAATAAGTCTAGTCATGCCTCGTTTATAGATGAGATAAAGGGTTTAAAGAAGTCAAACAATTTTTGCCAGGTCACACAGCTGGTGACTGAGAGAACCAGAATCTGGATAAACTGTCATGACTCAAGTCCAGGTCTCTTCCCCTTTCCTGAGGAAAGTTGCAGAGAGTTCCAGGTTGCTCCCAACTGTTCAGTTGGACAATGTTTCAGATTCAGTGGGTATACTGCTTCCTCCCTAGCTGAAAGCTAGAAATGACTGCCTTAGCTACAATACTTCAGCCCAAAGTGTCTAGGTATTTTTGAGCTTGTGGTTTTTCGAGCACATACCTGGGTAGTTCTCCTTAGTTATCAAATGCCAGCACCAGCCCCCAACGAACACAGCTGGAACCTCTAACATCTCCTCACATAGGCTCAAGTTAGAGACACAGTTATTCTCCTCAGGCCAGGGATTCTATGTCTTGGATCACCAAGCGGAAGAGGTATAATAACCTTGAAAATCATTTTTGTCCAACACTCTGCCTCCTGAAATAGTCTGCCATCCCATGCAAGAGAAGATCTAACACCTCTTTCCTCTGGAAGTTTCCAGTGAGATTTTCTGGGCTTGGCTCCTTTACAACACCCGAAAGCCCCTTTGTATGATAAACAACACCCCTTACTAATCTGGCCCCTTCCTGCCACTGAAGCCTTATCTCTCTTGTGCCTTCCCCTCGACCACCCCCATGCCCCAGCCACTGGCACTGCCTGTACCCATGCTGTGCCCCCACCCCCATCTACCCAGTGCTGTTCCCCACACCTGTGCTGTTCTCCTATTTAAATTCCCTTCCAGGCTTATTTGCCTGCCAATCACTTACTGATCTGTCATGAAACAACTGAAATATTGCATCCTCTGTGAAGCCTTTCCTGATACACACCCCTGTCTCTTCCACCAGAGAAATCAACTGCCTCTCCTCTATAAGCCTTCACTGTGCCCTAACTAGGGAACTAGCTCCCTGCCAGGTCTGTGATCACTGGAAGAGCAAGGACACTGTTCAATTTCTCTCATCCTTGACCAGGCTTATGAAGGTCCTGGTACACTGCACATGTTCCACATGTATATCCCGACTATATAATATGTGAATGGATGTGCATGCACATGGAAAAAGAAGAAAACTACAGCCTCATGGAGCTACACATGATCTTAGCCAAAAGGTCAAGAAGCAATCCTTATGGAGCTTAAAACCTCACCTGTGTGTCCATTGACAGATGAATAGAAAAATAAAATATGGTCTATACACACAATGGAATATAATTCACTCTTAAAAAGGATGGGAATTTTGACAGATGTTACAACATGGATGAATCTTGAGGACATTGTGCTAAGTGAAATAAGAACAAATACCACATGATTCTATTTGCATGAGGTTCTTAGAGTAGTCAAATTCAGAGACAAACAGTAGAATGGTGGCTGCCAGGGGCAGGGAGTGGAGGAGGAGTGATCAGGAAGACTCCCGGGAAGGGTCAGCAGCAGAGGGGAGTCCTCGAGTATTCAACAGGAGCCCTCTGTGGCAGCACAGCAGTCTGCCCTTTCCCCACAACTACAAAGCATGGGGTCTAAGGCATTGCATGCGTGGGTGGGATTAAGCCTCATGTTACCCACCCCCTCCCCAGTATAAACAGTGAAAAGTTGCATCTGGCCTCTGCCTCATAGAACAGTTTTTGAGAAATACACATGTACACTCACATTTTTGTTCCTTGATTTGCACAAAAGCATAGCTATTCATTACCTTGCAGGCTTTGCATTTCTGAAGGGCTGTCTTGCTTTGAAGAACTCACAACTTCGGCCCCAGAGAATTCTGGGGAACTAAAGTGGCAGCCACTTCCTCGGCCCAAACCTGAGAACTCTTACCAGGACTTCCCCATTACATCCTCTGTAACTGTCTGCAGTGGAGGCCAAGGTGCTGGCAGTTGGCGCGGTGGGAACAAGGTGAGCCTCCTATCCAGGAGCACCAAGGGGAGAGCTGACATGAAGGCTGTCTTCTCCAGCACAGATCTTGAGTAGGAAGGACAGTTAGGGATGGAACCTCAAATGCAGGCTGCTCATGAAGAATATTTCATGGAGCTTCTGCGAGACAAATATGACCTTGAACAACCCTGAACATTCAGGTTAATGTGGTACTGTGGGACTCATTTTTTGAGCACCTATTATTTGCACGCTTTTGACAACATCCTTTGGGGTGTGCTGCAGTGCCTACAGTCTAGTAGGGTAGATGCCAAGGACTAAGCTGACTGTAATACAGGGCAAATACAAAGTGTCAAGAGATGCATCTTAAATGCTGTAAGGGTTCAAAGAGCAAGCATAATGCTCAAATCCTGGTGATGTGTTCAGCTAAATCAACCTACAAATGCTAACAGTCTGGGCTTTTCATTTCTAGGAGAGTTGAGATCACAGTGAATCAGTAGCAGGAGCCATTATTCTTCTGGAATACAGGAGGCTAAGACCGTAGACTGACTACTTCTCCCCAGACATTCAGCTGGCACTATCCCAAGCCTTAGAATGGGAAGGAAAGAAGACACTGATGCCCGCAGTCACTCAGGAAAATAAGATATAGGCTGGACAGAAACAAAGTCAGACCTCAGGATCAGATAGGCCTGAGTCCAGTCTTGGCTCTTCCACTTACTGTGTAGCTTTGGGAAAGTTATTTAACCTCTCTGAGCCTTGGGTTCTCCATCTGTAATATGAGATTTACAACCCTTCCATCACAGATTGTTATGAAATAGAGAAGTATATGGAAAGCCTTTAGCATAAATCTGGGATGGAATAAACACTCAGCCGATATTATTATTAGTGTGCCTAGCTAAGATTTACTTGGGTGCTCCTTTAGGGCCACTGATTGAGTTATTCAGTATCCAGATAGGTCATGTAGTCCTCAATGTGTCCCAGACCTGTTGGAAGATGACTTATTGGGATATTGGTGATATCCCACTGGTCCTGTAGTCCAGTGTTGTTATCAGTACTTGATACAGTGTTGTTATGAGGATGAAATGAGCTACCATATATAAACAAACAGCTTCTAGCAGAGCCTGGCACAGGGTGAGAGTCTGGTATAGAAGTGGAGAATACAGACTCTGGGAAAACTCTGGAGTTTGAACCTCAGCACCACTAGTTTCTACTGGTGTGACCCTGAACAAGTTATTTAAAAAGCTCTTTGACTTGGTTTCTTCATCTGTGAACTGGGGAGGTTAATAAAGTGCTCATCCCATAGAGTTATGGATATTCAATGAGATAATAGATGCAGTACACATAGCAAAGTCCCAGGCACTTAGTGAAGGCTACATGAATGTCAGCTATCATTATTATGAAGTCTAGTATTTGCTATTGTTGTTATTTTTGCAAAAGCACTGGGTTTGAATCCAGAAACCCCAGGTTTGAGCTGTGGCTTCAACAATAAATGGACACCTAACAGTCAGTGGGCAGCTGACCTAACCTCTCTGAGTCAGACAGCTGGGAAAATAATGCCTGTCCCAGGTGCCTTGACGGGTTAATGTGAGAATGAAAGCACTTTGTAAACAGTAAAGAATAATAAAGTTGTAATAGACAAATGAAAAACATAAAGTCAAAAGACTGTTAAAGTTTTGTTTCTTTTTAATTTGAGGAAAATCTATATAAACATGAAGGCTTGTACAGTCATGGGAAATTTCACAAAGGATAATTAGTGGGACCTAGGAGATGAAAGAGTGGGCTTGTGGACTTTTTACTTTAACCCCTTCGGTACTGTTTAAATAGTTTTTTAACAAGCATGTATTCCTCATGTAACTTTAAAACCAAAGCAATATTTTCCTACACATTATGGATTATTAGTAGATTGCCTACAACTTCAGCCACTTTGGGTTCTTGTCCTGCTCTAAAATACAAATGAACGAAACAAAGTAGTTCCCTTTCCAGGCACCTAATAGTGCTCCTCTTCAGGAAAGTAGCCACTTGGAATAAAATCTGGCATGCCTCAGGTTTTCAGGGCAGAAAGTAATAAATAATTTCATTTGCCTTCCTTTGGCTGCCTACATGTAATAATAATAATAATAATAATAATAATAATAATAATAATAAATAGAACCGAATGTGTCCCAGACCACTTCACTCGTGGCCTCAGTTTTTCCATGTATAAAATGGGATGGCCATTCCCTTTTCACCACCCAACTTTACAAAATAAAAATAAAGAGAAACACAAAACCCTTTTTGCAACTAACTTACTACCTCAAACCTAAAATCCATGAGCTTCTTGGCCTGTCTGAGACATAGCTGAGACATACGACAGACATAGACATGACTCCCACCCACAGCCTGAGGGAAAGGAAAAAAAAAAACATTTTTGCCCTGAGGCTCTCCATTGGTGTTCGTTGTGTTTGACCCTGCACATAGGCTGAGCCTGCTGGTCTCTACCCTCCCATCCAGACTACCAGAGGAACCTACCCCACCAATGTAGACCAGGAGTTTCAGGGACCAAAGATGAGGACTATTAAAGGAGCAAGCCCCAGAGGACTGACTACATCACTTCCCACATGAACAAGACATCCCTGCTTCTCCAGGAAACCAAATTGGTAAACTGACCTGAGCCCCCAAACCTCAGCATCCCCCCAACTTTGCCCCATGTCTTCCCTCTCCTTGCTCAATGACTCCCAGAAGCTGCCATGCTCTCAGAAGCCTCACCTCTCAATGTCCCTCTCCCTTTCCATGGGCAGTGGCTGCTTGGTATTCACACCATGTCATCCTTGCCTGTCTCCATTTGGAAAAGTCTCTTTTTTGACCTCTCTGTATCTCAGTTGCCTTTGTGGGGGGAAGGGAGTGAAGGGGAAGGGAGAGAGAGATCATCTCAGCATTTACCCAATTAGTGTTAATTAAAAGCCAAGGCCCGGGTACTGTCCTCACAGCTGCTCCAAAGGACAGAGCCTGCTGGAGAGTAGCCACTAAATGCACATTGGACACACAGAGAGAGCTCTGACAAGCCAACTCCTGTCCTGCACATCCTTGTTTCCCTCCCCAGGCAGTGAACATGATCATGTCTCTCCCCACAGCAGCTTCTTCCAGGGCTTATGTCTTGGGTTTGCCCTTGCTTCTCAGCCTTGGGCTGTCAATGAGGCCCTACCCAGGCTAAGCCCAGCGGGAGGCCTAGTTCCCATGGTAACCTGAGCCTGGGGGAGGGTGGGCCAGAAAAGTGCAGCTCTCAATAACAGGCTTGCTGCCTTCCCAGGGCACCCATTGCTTAGTTCCTATTTACCCTTGAAACACTGTGGTGCGGCACAGACACCCCTGCAAGGCAGGGCAGCTGGGTCCTAACTCCATGTTCTTTAACTGCGTTATGATTTCTCTTCCACTCACTTGAGCCCAGATAGCAGATCTAGAACTGCAGTAGAACCTCAAATCTGATGGCATCTTAAGTGGTCAGCACATCTGTCCCTCCTCAGCAGCTAATCTCAGTGGGTGGAATGGAATTGAAAAGCCATTTTTATTAGGAGTATGGCCTGCCCTGACCCCAACAGTAGGTGCCAGCTGTTTGGTATTGTCCATCTTGTCAGTGGTTATTAATGATTCTGATTAACCTCTATGGTGATCCATTATCTCAATGCCAGGGAATATGCTATCATTCCCACCTGTGCTGGATTATTTACAATTAGTGGTTCGTACTTTTCCATGGTTTCACAACACATCTTAATCAGATGGTGAGTGGGTTTAATTAGCCAAAGTATGGTATAGGTTTTATTATTTTTATTCCTATAACTACTTAATCCAATGGAAGCCTATTATCTGTGGCTTTTTTTTCTCATGCATAATTGTCGCTGTTTTTAATTGATGGTGCATCAGGGGTTGCAGCTACAACATGGCAGCTGGAACACAAACTTGCCTTTCCCCAGAATGAAGGTTGATAAAATAAGTTGTCAGTGAGGCATCAGAGTCCTTGTTTTCAGAGAGATGCGAGCTCCCAGGTGGATGCTGCTGGCTCCTGCCAACAGAAAGGAAATGTGGCTCTCAGCTGGGTGACCCCTGGGCTTCATTGCTGCAAAATGCCCTTCAGGAGCCCTGGGGCTGGATCCAAATCAGGAACAGCTGGGAAAGAGAGCTATTTGTCAATCCAACCAGATCATAAGCAACCCCAGGGCAGGGACAGGTCTTCTTGTTCTGCTGCCTCCATTTCACAGGCCCTGGGATAGGTTCATGACACCCTCTGTGTGCTCTCCTATGTATGCAGTGACTTGAACTCAGAGCTGAGACTGGGCAGGAAATCTGGACTCTTGCAGAGCAAGTCATTTGAATGTGAAAATGAATCTGACATTCTTCCTACAGAGAGAGGGATCCACTTTCAAATTTGGACAGGGCCTCCCGGCCAATCTACAGAATACTTTGGCTGTACCTATGTAGAATTAAGGCTCTGATCTTTAGTGGAATGGATTGCCAAAGTCCCAGTACCATTTGGGACAGATCTCCAATAACCAAAAAAAAAAAAGTGTTCCATTAACTCATAGTAGGAGAGAGAAGCAAAAGGCAGAATGATATCTGACTAAAAGTAGGAATGCATACATTTTCTAGAGCTCTTGGGCTTCCCCTAGATAAGCTTTCTCAAAGGGTTGGTAGAAGGACCTGGCAGTCAGTGAGCAAAGCTCCCAGGTAGCCCAGAATGGAAGGATACCAAGGTCTTTGCTCAATGTTAAGAGTACCCTGAACTGAGCAGGACAGGTGCATAAACTGAGATAATCACAGTCTGGCTCTTCCTCACATGCCCACCCCAGCTCTACATCTAGCCTCCAGCTCTCTCTGGACCCGTTAGCTGCAGTCAGAGGAAATCTGCATAACTGGGTTCAAAGACTTATTTCCCTTCCTGCTTGTCTCTTCCTGTTAAATAATGTGACACAGAAAGGAGACCATGGGAAGCAAAGTTGCTGGGGCTTTCTGGTTGAACTCTCTTTCCAGGGGAGCCTGAGTTATTAGTATAGAAGGCACAGACTTTCTCTTCCAGCCCACGACCATGGTGGGCTATTGGTAGTGGTAGCATTGAGTTTATTCCTCCCTTCCTGTTTTGCAAAAATATTTGTACAGAGACTTCTGTGCCTGACCCACAGTCAGCAGCCAACAGGAGCCACGGATTCCTCCTGCAACGTTTTACAGGGTGACGGATCAGATAATGTACACTTAGCGAGTGCACAAATAATGTGAATCAGGGTTGGCATAGTGCAGTGAGGTGTAAAAAAAGCAATTTGAATTGTTCTAGGGAAACGCCAGAGCTGCTCTGACACGCTTGCTTGCCAGAATGCTGCCCTGTGCCCCTCCAGAGGGCTGAGCCCTAGGCTCTGGCTGGAATGGCAACAAGGCTGCCCAGCACCACTGGCCTGAAGGGGAGCTTCCCCAGAGATGAAAGAAGTCTGTATCCATGCAGAAAAGGGCAAGGGCATGAGTGACAGCCTAAAACAAAACTCCAATTCAGACTGGGGCATGGTTGGACCTGTTGATCTGCTGAGACTTCATCAGAAGGAAGAAGAGAAAGAGAGACCAAACTTGGATCTGTGGGTATGGCCACTCATGGACAGGCAAATTGACACTGTATGTAACCTGTTTGGGAAGATCTGTCCTCTGTCTCCTTGGACTGCCAGAAGTCATCTAGTCCATCCCTCTGCCTTCAGACAGAACTTCACCTCCTCTCCCACACAACAAAGGGGTTTCGAATTTATTTCAAAGTCTTTGCAAGGGAAGGAGACTTCACACCCTTTCTTAGTCACAACAACAACCCTCTGGAACTTTCTCAGCCTAAATCAAATCCTTCAGGCTTACACATATTCACAAGGGTCTGGCCGTGGTTGGTAAGTTAATGGCACGTAAACATGTGTGTGCCTAAGCAAAGACCTGGCCACAGTGCCATGTCCTCACTCTGCCTGGTAAGAAGTGCTCGAGCAAGCGGCCAGCTCATCCCTCAGCTCAGCCCCCTCTCCCTCTCACTGTCCTTTCCAACCCTGGCTTCCCTGAGCCTGCTTTGCCAGGCTTGTCTTGCTCTCTGACTCTGCAAAGCCATACTACATTTTGACACTGCAAGCTGATGGCTGATCCTCCTCTCATGCCGTCCCTGTCAGCCTCTGCCCTAAGAGCCCCTTCTCCCACCAAACTGCTTCCATGAGGTTTCCTGTCCAGAGCAGGAGACAGGCTGTTTATCACTCTGACACCTGCTGGGCAGCCTTAGCTTGCAAAACCACAGCGTCTCTGCAATCCACCCCCAGCTCTAACCGTAGTCTCTCAGCTCTTGCAAGAACAAAGGCTATGAGCACAGAAGGTGGTCAATAAAATGGCTTGGATTAACTTGTCAATAACAAGCAGATATTGCCAACCTCCTCTATTAAGTTCCTTAATCAAGCCAAGTCCAAAGCCTAAAACTCACAAGACCTGATCATAGGGGAAAGTGGTAGGAAATTTCTGGGTTGTTTCAAATGAAAGCCGATTACAGGGAGTAAGGGAGTTTTCTGGTGGCTCAGGAAGCTGAAGGGTTTGGGGATAATAGATAGCCAGGTTGACAACTGCCCACCTGCATTACTGACCCCAGAGTGGTCAGGTAGGGAGCCCAGCACAGATTAAGAACCCAAACAAAAGGGAAGATAGGACAGGCTTGGGGACCTACAGCCTGCTGAGGGACTGGCTAAGGCCTCTAGATTTTTCCCCCAGGAAATCTGGGGATACATTTCCATGTTGTCTTTGCATAAATTTGTGTGCTGATTTGCATATATTTGCATGTTTGCTTTCAAAATACCCAAACTCCTAGAATATAAAATAAAATGCAATTAATTAATTAATTGGTATGATGGATGGCAAGTGCAGCAACACTAAAAATACAGGCTCCATGAGGGACCCTGATCAAGGGACAGATTTTCCAGCTTGTCCCCCTAAGCCAGGATGGATCTGGGGATACAGTGGAACTTCTTCTGGAGTTGTCTGTCTCTTCCATTAACAGTAGGCTCTTGGGAAGAAGCACATACAGAACTCTTTGATCCCTGTATCCCCGGGCTCCAGCAAAGGGTTTGCCACATGTGAGAC